ATCAAATTAGGGAAGTTTTCCATCATTACTTTTTCACATAGGTTTTCTATCCCTTGCTCTTCTTCTTCTCCTTCTGGTATCCCTATTATATAGATATTATTATGTTTCACATTGTCTTGCATTTCTCTTAATCCCTCTTCATTCAAAAATATGGAACGCTTCACGAATTTGTGTGCCATCCTTGTGCAGGGGCCATGCTAATCTTCTCTGTATTGTTCCAGTTTTAGTATATGTGCTGCCAAAGCGAGCACTGCTCTATGTAACTCTTAAAAATGAAGAAAAAATACCCAGAGACTTGTAACTCACAGAAAGTCTTCAGTGTTTTTTAAAATATCTTAATTTTTTTTATTTTTAGAGAGAGGGAAAGGGAAGGAGATAGAGAGGAAGAGAAAGATCAATGTGTGGTTGCCTCTCAAGCACCTCCTACTGGGGACCTGGCCTGCAACCAAGGCATGTGCCCTGACTGGGAATCAAACTGGCAACCCTTTGGTTTTCAAGCCAGGACTCAATCCACTGAGCCATACCAGCCAGGGCAGCCTTCAGTTTTTTATTTCATGCAACAGACTGTTTATTTATTGATTTATTGTATATGAGGTAATTATTGATGTAAATTTATTGTTTTTGTTTCTGCAATACTTATCCTAAAACCTTCTCTTTGTCAATCACAGATGTATAGTGATGTAGGATGGTCATGCGGGGATGCAGAGAGAAGCAATCATTGTCAGCCTGTATTCTTCAAAGTGACCACTTTAAGCATATTTCAGAAACAAAAGCAGGTAAAGGCAAAATATTTTATGAGTCAGAGCTTAGTTTTTGTGACAAAAGAAATTAGACCAATAGAAAAGAGTGGCCATAATAATGTATAGAAAAAAGAATTGAAGAAGATGCCTGCTGCATGGAGGGAGTGGGCATATAGGATGACATCAGAGAACCCTGGAGGGTTATGACATGAAGAGAGGAGTGCAGCTTCAGGTTCCAAGGAAGCCAGATCCAGCCTTCAGTCTTTCAGCCTGCTAGTGAGCATCTGGTGGTACCACACCTGTTTGGGCAGGTGACTTAGTGGTCTTCAGTCTTATGGCTGGCAACCACCCAAAGCTGCATGCATCCTTTCAGCACATGTCAAACCAAAGACAGGTCCACACTTGTTAAAATTTGCTTCATCCATCTGGATTGTTCAGTTTTCATTGGCACAGGACACTTTAGGACTTTTCCTCAAGGAAAAGTGAGGAAGCTTGTTATGTGGAGAGGAATGGTGGTCAGGATCAGGGAGAAGGTAAATTGTGGAGAAACCAACCACTGATGCACACACAACTTTTTTTTCTGTGCCAATCTATGTAAAAATTCTACATATCCATGTTTGAGAGTACAGGTCTAGATGTCATTAAAGCCTATGTCTGGTGACAGAATTCCTACCTCTAATTTAATAACCTCCTTTCACTCTACAAAGAATTTTTTAACTTTTGTGCATTTTTATGTCTCTTCCTTGTCCTTTTCACTTGTATGCTTTTCCAGCTATCCTGTCCCAAATCATTATCCCTCCATATGAGTTTTTCAAATTTGTTGATTGAAATGGCAAATACTTGTAATGTTCTTAATTTATTTGTATTATCTACTGATCACCTCTGGCATTTTACCTACAGGCCATGGAAGCCCACATTTCTTGGACAGCAATGAAATGGCCAGCACTGGATATTTGATTCAATTGCCTACTTGTGGAGGTCTTTGAAATAAATATTTTAATATGTCAAAAAATAATAAATATTTACACCATACTAAATTCAGGCTCTTCCATAAGCCCATAAAAAATTTTTAAGCTTTCTAAAAGTGACATACATGTTTTGTTTCAAATTACAAGCAAACCAATTTCTTCCTCCAGATATAAAGGGCTACTTTTGAACTGAGGTGGAAATCCTAGTTCCATTCATGCTCATCTGAATCGTCACTGTGGTGGTAATGTTTTGGAAAAAAAGGAGTGGGAAGGCAAGACAGAAATGAGTATAAGTTTGCAGGGTTCTCATTGGCTGTGCTGAATCTCCATCTACTGTCTGCAAATATATTGTAATGAAAGTTCCACGAAGTAAATGAGGACCATGAGGATGGAGAAAGATTTCATAGCACAACCATCAAAGTGATATGCTCTTCACTGTCACCTGTGTCACCAAAGGCCCATGACTTATCACAGTTCTTTCCTCTCAGTGTAGAACATGAGAAATCATCTCAGTTCTACTTCTTTGTACTACTTCTCACCCTGCTCCAAACTTTGGTTGTATGTGGGAAGCCCTGTCCAGTGGAGCACTCCCGGCCACGGATGCCAATGAGTTGTCCCAGACACAATCTCTTGTTCTGGCAGGAAAGGGGGTGGTGATTCCCTCTAGTGGAGAATGCCCTGAGCCTTTCTCTGAAATGGCTTTTATTGGGATTGGTATGCACAGGGGTATACAGTGTGCTTGCAAAGCTCATTAATCAGTGTCTACAGGCCATAGTTAAAGTAAACAGATAGTATCTATGGACAACAATGGAAGGAACACAGAGCTCTGCCTCAGATCAGGCTCTGTTAGACATGCTGACACCAGATGGTTGTTAAGGTGTGGTTCATGAGATGAGCATGAGGATGTTCACTCCTGCTTTTGGACTTAGATATCTGATCCATGGCAACAGGGCCATACAGAGCAGAGCAAGCCTCAAGGGGTACAGTGTTCTTTTGCCTGAAGCATTCCTGACATTCCAGTCCAGACTTACAGGTCTCTTTCAAGGCCTTGCTTGCAAGGGGCTACAGTCTCTGATACCACACAAAGTGTGTATTTCTACTCTTTATGATTCCTCCTAAAATGTGGTCATTATTCCATGTCCTTAATTGTTAAATAAACATTTTTTTAATATTTCAATGCCTCTGTAATAGGAATTCACTTGAAAATTGATATACTCACTCAATGTAATGTGCATTTCTGGAAAAGGGATGGTGAGATTGTGGTGCATTTGAACTGAACTGCTCCAGATGAGGGGTGTGTTGAAGGAGCAGTTGTGACAGAGCTGTTGTTTGCTCAGCACTGAGACCTAAACCATGAAGATCCATCAGACTCTGGGAATGGACTTTTCACATGGGTATCACATCCATTTGCTTATTAGAAGAGATCTACAGTTTATTTTCTGTCTAATTTATTTATGCATGAGGCTCACTAGGAGATATATTTCAACACTTTCCATCAACTATGTGCCAGGTGTTAGAGACTGGTAAATGTGTAAATGAGTGCTTTTATAGCTCCATGTAGCCAGACTCTACTTAAGCTACACTTGGAGATATAATTTGGACAAGTAGAGGATTTCATGAGGAGGGTGGTATGAACAAAGTTTCAGAAACATTATAATGAGCCTACAGAACTTGAAAGGTATTTCTAAAGGCAAGATGTTTTTTATATATTTTTATAAGATATATATATATCTCATATATATATTATGTATATATATTATACATAATATACATAATATATATGTATACATAATATATATGTGCATGTGTATATGTATACATAATATATATACATATATAATATACATAATATATAATAAAACTGAAAACATGCCCACCACCTTTCCTCAGTCTCAGCTGTGTCACCTGTTTCACTGCACTCATGCCACGTCTCATTGGCTGGAAGCATTAGCAGCGTGTCCATTGAAGTGTCTGACACAGTGAAGGTGGCCAACAAACACCCATTTCTATCTTATGCAATTAAGGGAGTGTGTGGAGGAAGCAGTGAGCAGGAAAATAAAAGTGACAGAGTGTTTCTGCAGGAAAAAAAATGGAAAATAACTTAGAATACTTAGGATATTGGAAATCTTAAATAATAATTAAATCTGGAAAAAGCAGGATGTGGGATTTATCACAGTAAGAAAAGCAGTTGTCAGACGATCATCTCTCATGGATCATAGTGCACTCTAAAAACAATTAGCCCAATGTCAGGAACCAAGACATTAGATGGAAGGAAATTTTAACAAACAGGAAAATATCTGAGTCCAAAATAACATGACTTGTATCAAAACAAACAAACATGTGAAAGAACCATCTTCTTAAGTATGTGAGTAACCATGTAAAATTAATAATCAAATATGCATTCTCAAATAAGTGGAGCATATGAGAAAATTGAATATGTACATGTTTTTAAACTGCAAAGTTAAAATCATTGTTTTAAATTAAATTCATAATTTTCATCAAATAATGAAAATCCGAGTCTATCAAGAAAGTTAAGCCCTGGCTGAGTGGCTCAGTTGGTTGGAGTGTCATCCTCATCCTGTGCACCAAAAGGTTGCAGGTTCGATCCCTGTCAGGCATATATGGGAGACAACACATCCATGCTTCTCTCTCTCTCTCCCCTTCCTCTCTCTCTAAAAAATATCAATTAAAAACATATCTTTAGGTGAGAATTTCAAAGAAGGTTAAATAAATAAAACATAGATGCAAAATCTAGGCTATTAAAACATTTGCTAAATGGAGAAAATGCCAGGGAACATAATAGTGTTGGAGGAATAAGAACCTCATACAAATCTCACATATATGGAGCTCAGACAAGAGTCAAAATCCTGGAAGCTATGAGAAGAAAAGCTCCATAGTTTCTGTGTAACTAAGTGAAAGAGTCTAAGGAAAAAACTTCCTTCCAGCCCTGGCTGGTGTAGCTCAGTGGATTGAGCGTGGGTTGCAAACCAAAGCATCACAGGTTCGATTCCCAGTCAGGGCGCATGCCTGAGTTGCAGGCCATGAACTCCAGCAACTGCACATTGATGTTTCTCTCTCTCTCTCTTTCCCTCCCTTCCCTCTCTAAAAATAAATAAAATCTTTTAAAAAATTAAAAAATAAAAATAAATAAATACATAAAAACTTCCTTCCTATTCAAACTGACAGCCTGAGTTTAACACCGACAAATCTCTGTGGACAAATCTCTGTGGTATATTTATCTCTAGTACTAACAATTTCAAACAGCTAGTTCATCATGGAACAAAAAGAAATTCTACTTTCTACCTGCAACTTTTCTCCTATTTCTATCAATCCGCAGGACTTTTCCTAGAGCCGCTTTAATATCCTTGTTCCTCAGACAGTAGATCATAGGGTTCAAGGTTGGGGGCGCCACAGAATAGAAGATAGATACCAGCAAGTCTAGAAGGGAGGGCTTGTTGGATGCTGGTTTTAAATAAGCAACAGCGCCTGTCAGAAGGAACATGCTCACAACGAGGAGGTGAGGCAGGCAGGTAGAAAAGGCTTTGGACTGCCTCTGCCTGGTCGGGATCTTCAGCACAGTGGAGAAAATACACATATAGGAGACCACGATGCAAACTAAACATGAAAATGCATAACAGACACCGATGGCCACGCTTACATGAATAGTCACATGCTGTTCTGAACACGTGAGCTTCAGTAGGGCAGGGACATCACAGAAGAACTGCTGTATCTTATTGGACCCACAAAATTTCAGAGAAAATGTCCCAGTTGAGTACAAGATGCCCAGGGCCCCTCCATTAAGCCAGGACACAGCCATCAAAAGGACAGAGGTCCCTTTACTTATGATGGCTTCGTAATGCAGAGGGTGGCAGATGGCAACGTAGCGGTCATAGGACATCGCTGTGAGGATGCCGATCTCTGACCCAGCCATCAGCACCACCAGGAAGAGCTGTACCGCACACCCCAGGAAAGAGATGGAGTCAGTGAAGGTGACAGAGTTGAGGATGGACTTGGGGACTGTGGCAGAAATGAGACAAAGATCTAAGAAGGACAGATGCCTGAGGAAGAAGTACATTGGGGTGTGGAGGTGATGGTCAAGAACTGTGAGGAAAATGATGATGACATTCTCCCACATGGCCACGAGGTAGAACAGTGAGAAGAATGCAGCGTGAATCCTCGACAGCACCCGACTCTCAGTCCATCTCACAAACGAGAACTCTGTCACCAGGGTTTGATTCATCGTGTTTTACGATCATGCGCCACCTGTTCTGTCAAGAAAAATAGTTATGTTAGTATAACAAATAAAATCCACTTGCTTCTTTAGTTTTGAAACATTGTACACATTAGCATCATGGGTTAGATAAAAGTTTAAAAATACAAAAATATTCGTATTTATTGTTGATTGGGTATGAAAACAACCATGGAGATAACATTCCAATATAACTGGAGTTAAATTTGTTGTCAAAGAAGAAAAGAACTCCCTAATAACTTAGAAATTATTTTGAATAAGTTTATTTCTAATGGGAATTGCAGCACTGACTATGTGATTATGACAAAGTATAATTTCTGTTTTTTCATCCTCACCCAAGGACATGTTTATTGAGTTTTAGAGGGAGAGGAAGGAGTGAGAGGGACAGAAACATCGATCCCATGCACCCCCACTGGGGACAAAACCTGCAATCTAGGCCTGTGCCCTGGCCGGGAATTGGACCTGTGACCTTTTGTTTACGGGACAACATTCTAATCAACTGAGCCACACTGTCGGGGGCTCAGGTGCACTTTTCCTGCATAAATATTATCCTAGTTATTGTAAATTTTCTTGTGAATTAGATGTCATGGACTCATTTCCCACTTACTGCATATTTCAATCTGTTTAAATAATCATGGTTATGAGATGATACTCTAATTTTTTATTCAGTTCCTACTGAAGGACATTAAGGTTGCTCCCTGTCTTTTCACTAAAAAAAAAAAAAAAAGAAATTCTTTGTTGCAAATGTCAGAGGATCTTGTTGTTGTTGCTTTTCTAGTGCAGATATTTAGTGCAGCATACAAAAACCAGAAAGCTACTCTGGTAATTTTGATTAATTGGTTTATAAGTGGTGCCATTTTTTATGGAAAGAGCTAAACTTGAGACTGTCCAAGTCATGGGCATGTAACACTGAAAAGGAGTTAATTAATGGCAAGAACCAGCAAACATTAGCAATGTGCCGTGCATCTAATGAAGGAAGCTGTGTCCTCTGACCTCTAAGGGCTTATTGTCCAGGGTCACCCAGGGTCACGCCAGCATGAGGAGGTCTGTGGGTGTGTTTTCCTCCTTCAGATCCTCTTTGTTTCTAGAACTCTTCAATTTTTCTTTAGCATCATTTAATTAACTTCTTCATTCTCATGCAGCCTCCTTCCCCTCTAATATTTGTGGCTCTTCCTGTAAGCACCTTAAGGTAAGAAAACATGATCATCTCTGGCCTCTGTAAGTGCAACTCAGCCTCCCAGGCACAGGGCTCTAAGTGGGCGCTAACTACAGAACCTGTGCGGACTCCCGCATTGGTGCCTTTCTCACTAGGTCCTACTGTTCTTGCCAGGTTTCTGGGTATCCTGGCCCTGAGCCTAGTTTTGCTGCACTATTGCCTGTGTCCCCAAAGCTCATGTGTATGTGTCATGCTGCCACACCTTCTAGTTTCTTATAAAAGCTAAATGGAATGGAGTTTCATAACCTTCATCCTGAGACTGTCCCGCCTAGGGAAAGCCTTCAGTTTAATTTCTGGGCCTCGTAGTAGTGCCCCAAGGCCCACTCAGCATTTGTGCAGCTGAGCTTGAGCAGACATTAATCCTTGTCTCTGCGGCCATAACTAGACTTGGAACGCAACCCCCACCCCCCACAACCACACACCCCCAGCACCTGCACTAGAGCTCCTCCACTCTTCCTCTCCTCCTCCTGAGTTAGGCCCTGTCCTTTCCTGGATTCTCTATGTGCTTTCTGCATCCTCTGAAGTAACAGTGCCACAGCTTCTGGCAAGCTGCATTTTGTTGATCTCTTATCAATCTGTAATTCTAAAAAGTTCATGAAACGTATAAATGTGGTTTGACCAGGGCTGCTTCCTTCTCACAATGTAGACTTATTTTTTATTAACAAAATCACTATTTAGCCCTGGCTGTTGTGGTTCAGTGGATTGAGCGTGGGCCCTCGAACCCAAGGGTTGCTGGTTCAATTCCCAGTCAGGATACATGCCTGGGTTGGGGGTGAGGTCCCCATTGGAGGACTCATGAGAGGCAACCACACATTGACGTTTCTCTCCCTCTCTCTCTTCTTCCCTTCCCCTCTCTCTAAAAATAAATAAATAAAATCTTTTAAAAAAACACTATTTATTTTGACATCTAAAAGCCACACTTACTGGTTTTACAATTACACATAATTATCAATATTTTTAATAATCAAACACAATTATTAGCATTTTTGGTATGAAACTCATTGTATTTTAATATTATGATTCTACCTAAAATAAGTTCAATTTACAAAATCCCCAAAGCTAATATTTTCTATTTTCATCTGATAGAGAAGAAGTTGTTTGAAGCCACCTAACTCTAAATAGTGTACTAATGGGAAATAGTCATGTTTTTAAGGTAATACATTAGTAGCAGACATAAAATAAATGGCAAGAAGAAAAGAGCATCTCAAAGAAAAAATTAAGTATTATATTTTATTTTTATTAAGGGTAGAAAAAAGTTACATAATACAGAAGGGACAAAAGATAATGAGAAAGTGAGCTGAAAATATATTTGGTTTCAGGAGGTTTAAGAAGATTAGAAGCTAACGGTGAAGAACCAAGCTCGATGTCTGAATCAGCTCTCATCCATACACACACACACGGACACACACTTCCCACCACATACAACCACACACATGGCACCACAACAGGACATGGACAACACACACACACACACACACACATACACTCCTCACGCCGCTTCCAGGTGTGATTTGTAAATCAGACTAGAGTGTCACAGATGCTTTGTTAAGGAAAAACATCCTCATCATTTAAGCATGGTAACACATGTTTACATGCCTGCTCTGCCAAACATCTAGTTATTTCCTAAGAATGAGTTCTGCCTGCCCCCACTTTGTGGATAAAGGTGTGCAGCTCTTGTGGCCTGTGACTGACCCAAAGAGGGTCCAGCAGAACATGCACCAGATTGTAATGAGGAGAAGAGAGGGAGAAGGGCAGTGAAAACATAGACGTATATGGAAGGAACTGTAAGGGAAGAAAGCTGGACAGACGTGGTTACCCAGGTCAGTGCATAAAGGCAGGAAGTGGGGGAAGAGTTTCAAGCAAAAGGAGGTGAGAAACAGCATCATGTGTTTCAGAGAGTGACCGCAGAGACTGAGGAACCAGTGACAACCCCTTACAGGCAGCTTACATGGCACCAATTAAAAAGAGTAGCAGGAGCAGAGGGAACAGACGAGATTAGGGAGCAAGTAAGCACACTGAACATAATCCTTCCGTGTGCTGGCGATAACATCTTAGGGAAAACCTCATCATTTATTATGCTGAGCAGTGGCTTACAATGATTTATTTTGAGCAGTGTACTACTACAGAAATTCAAAGATACAGACAGAAATGAAGAAATGCAAAAGGAAGAGAGACAGAAACAGGATAGAGGGAGCAAGTTTAAAAAACGAGGAAGGAAAATGAGGACGATGAGGGCGGGGAGGCAGCGAGAGTCCCACTTTACTGCGGGAGAAAGAAGAACACAGAGGGGACAACTCCTGGTGGGAGAAAGCACCTTCCACGTGGAGCAGGGGAGAGCACACTGCGAGCGTCAGCACGCTTCGTGTTGTTTCCTCTGCCTCCCTCCGTGTCAGTGTCGCGGAGACTGACCGAGCGTGTCTGTGGGAGCGCTCCTATCGCCCACCTTCACAGCACCCACCCACCCAGCCCGGCGCAGGAGGCTTTCTGTGGAGTGAGATAACCAGTCACATCAGGTTCAAAAGGCTCCTAAGAAGAGGCGATTGCGTTGAGTTTTGCCAACTTCGGGTCCCTTTGCTAAAGAAAGGCAGCCCTGGCCCTGCTCTCAGAGCAGTACTGAGGAGCCTAACTCCAAGGTCACACCCAGCCCCAGCTGGGGCTGCGGCGTTTGCAGCCTGTGCTGGTGCCCAGGCTGAATGGGAACTTGCAGCGCCGTCTACAGGCCCCGAAGAGCCGGGTCCAAACGCACCAACCCTCTGCCGGGGGTTCTGCTCAGCCAACCCGTGTGCCTCAGTGGGTTCTTCTCCCTCGGCCTACTGTGCCTGGGATTATGTGTGAAGTAGCTGAAAGCTCTGTGTGCTTCGCTCTCCAGCTAATGTCGATAACATGATTAACCTTTGATGTATTGTGATTCGCTTGCCCACAGCAATTCCACACAACTGAATAAAAATCCACAAGCTGTGTCCCAACTGAGCTTTCAAAACTTTTTGAAATGTTAAAAGTGCATGGAACAGCCGTAAAATAAGGAGGTTTTGTGGGAGAGCCTTAGAATTCAGTGGAGTTCGGCTTACACATTTCCGAACTATTTCTAGATCACAGTAGCAGGACTCTGTCACTGTTGGCGGAAACGGAAGGGGGAGGGTGGAAAGAATGGAGAGAGCGAGGGAAAGAGAGGACAGAGCTGCTGGAACCCGAGCAGTCTCGGTAGCGTTTCAGCGTTAAGTAGAGGCAAGAAGAATAGCATTTACAGAAAACTACCGACGATAATGCTCTCTGGAATACAAATACATTTATTTTAGATTTCAAAATAATTTTTTGGAGAGGAAGTAAAAATGAAATAGCTAAGTAATTTGGGACTTCCCTCCAAAATTTCCGTTTAAAAAAGCTCTGTTTTCAAGTCATAGAAAGAACCGGAACGCTTGCTGCAACTAGTTTTCCCATATGCCCCAGATTCCCGTTTGAAGTCTCCTCCCACTCCATTCAAACTTACGATAGTGCTGACTGAGCATCGCTGTGCTCTACACACCGGTATTTGTTTGCTTTGTGCAGTCTTCAATTTCTAGGTGGAAAAACGCGTTTTGGTGTCCTGCGCATCACACAGTTCTTTCCTGAAGAAGGGGCAGGGCTTTGAAAACGGTCACAAGTGGACCTTCACAGACTCCAAGGGGCTCTCCCAGCAGGTCACTGTCCGCTCTGCTTACATTTAGCTCTGAGATGCTAAAGCCTGGGAGACCTTGCCCTTAACTCCCACCTCGGGCCTGAGAGCTGCTGCCACTGC